TTGTAACTTTACATACACCCCAAAAAGTGAAATAGCTAAATACACGTTAAAGATTAGTAAATTCTTGTAATGCTCCGTAACATGTCATTACTTCTAAAAATTTCCTTTACTGTCTTTTCTTTGTTGAGAATGAACTTTTAAACAAGGAGATCAAGAGTAAGAGTGTACAACCCTAAAAAAATAACCCTAATGTTTAATCGTGGACTTTGGGTGACCACGACGAGTCAATGTGCAATTGTCAATTTAGACAAAAAAGCACTGCGCTCCCCCGGGGGAGGATGGTGTGACGCGAGGTCACGCGTGTGTAGACACAGGGTTACATGGAAACAAATCTCTGTACCTTCATCCTAATTTTACTGCGAGCCTGAAAGTGCTCTTGGGAAAAGTCCTTAAAAACTGAGAAGATTAAGAGGTAACTCAGGATAGGGCACGCACTTGGCATGTGCAAAGGTCTGGGTGCAATCCAAACCCAATGCATGTGCGTGCACATGCGCACATACACACACACACACACACACACACACACACACACACGGGACTGAAAAAGAAATATGTAAAAATACAGTAATAACTACATGTCTTCAACATGTACCCAAAAAACATGTGGAGTATAAGAATGAAAGGACCTTTTAAAATTTAAATACAGTACACAACAAGAGTATGTGAAATGTGCCATCACTTGAAAATCAAGGAAGTGTTCAGTGCCTTTAGAGAGACATTAAAGTGTTATAAAATGTTGATTTAATGCCTTTCCATGTAATTTTATGACTGAATAATTCTAAAGATTTAGTCTGTGATTTTTTCATATTATCAATCGACTGGATTTGCAGAATATTAAAATACATAACATATAAATGAGTTGTAAATGTTTATGATCACATTAAATTTTCAAGATTTCTTTCTATTTGATGTTTTTTTAATTGAGAGCTCTGTACAAGTGTTTGCATGCCTGACATCCTGGGCTCAGTCCCCAGAACAAAAAACATAATATAATATTGTCATTTTTAAATAGCCCTGAGAATAACAATAACCATATACATTCTGCACGTGAAAAATGTTATCACACTAAACTATGATGAAAGTGAATGTGGCTAATTGATTATCAATGAAATATTATGAAAAGCTCTTAAACATGAACATACTGGAATAAATGTCATCACAAATTATACAATTAACACTGAAAATACAGACATGAACTCTATGCTAGATAAACTGTTTAAACTGTATAATCTTAAAATTGCCTTCTGAGCCACATAGTGAAAGAAACTAAGACATAAATTTTTTGTAATATGGATATTTAAGATAAAAATATAATAAAATATAAATTAGATTATAAAATGAAAATATAAATAAGAAACAGTATATAATAAATCAATATATGTAAAGTGATGATTTGGAAATCAAATTCACAAGTATCTAAGTCTATCATGTTATGGTAGTTTCCCTGCAGTCATTTTCAAATTACTGTTTGGAAAAAAAATTTTACACAAATTAGGGAATATATTTATATTATAAATATCTATATCATATTTGATGGCACCAAATTCCAAACATATATAAACCCAATATGTGAAACGAAGTATTACATAACTAAGCTGAAAAGACAGGAATTGTATACTTCTCCAGAAGAAAATAAAATTCTAACCGTCATACTTCTTAGATGAGATAGACTTTGGAAATAACTTCCAGACTTATGTTAAAAACAAACAAACAAAAACTCTTATAACAAACATCAACAAGCAGCAGTGTAATTTTGCTCTTTAAAAAAAAAAAAAAAACCCAGTATTTAACTACCATGCAATGCTTCTACAGGGCCATCAAGTATGTAAGTCCCCCTAAAAACTTTTTTTCAAAAAAAACTGCTAGGAACATTTCTAGTCAATTTAAAGTTCTCCTATATTTTAACTATGGATCCAACTTTTTAAAAATTATTAATGTAAGGAAATTGATGTAAGTATTTAGAAAATAATTATACCCTGATGAAATCACTTTAGTAAGAATCTTAACATATATTAACCACATATATACTCTTTATTTCAATTGAAACAGTGTTAGTACTTTACACTGATTCTGAAGAAATTCCTTTAAAAATTATTCCATTTTATAAACTGAATCAAAGTCAAAAATTTCAAGTTTCAGTTAACTATGCTAAGGAACATTTCAAAAAATAGTATTGTGATAATACACTTTTGTCAACTTTTTAAAACCAAAGTGTTCATTATTGAAGTCTACCAGTGTTTCACTGTTAACACACTAGGAAAATGCATATTCATTTCCCAACTATAAAAATCATTTGAATCATAAGTTAACATTATAAATGTTCAAACACTGTCATTTAAAGCACCTATGGCCACACACCGTCCTCCAACAGCTGCCTCTCAATACCTTTATCAAGGTTCTGAGATAGGAGGGGCACAACACACAGATACATTTTTCAGCTTTAGGGTTTAGAGATACTAGAACGAGAGGTAAGTTTGACAGTATTAGTGTCAACAAATTTTTAAGTAGCGTTACACAACAATAAATCTACAATTTATTTAAAAACACATTCTCTTTATTATATAACAGTTGAATTGCTTTGTTTTGAGATTTGCAATTCTTAGCAGTTGATATCTTTAAAAGAGAAAACTTCTGGGTGCCCTAGCATTAATTGTTAAATATTATTTTATAGGAACTAAGATAACATTTATATTTCCTGAAATCATACTAAAAAAGTGTCCAAAATACTTAAAAAAGAGATTTAATGGTACATGTATTTCTCACCACACACAAAAAACTATCACATATTTGAAATATTTTGCATAAATATAAGTCCAGCCAAACATTTAAAATTTCTGGTTACTTATGATGCATACTGTTATATAACAAAAGAGTATGTAGACATGATGGGGAAAATCTAGCTTATATATACCTAAAACCTGGTATGTTTTCAAAAATGCTCATTCATTTTTGTTAAAAAGATAGCTAAAATAAATTTTATACAATGGTCCTGAAATGCAATCTCCTTCTATTACAGATGTACAGATGATACCTATACAGACCATTTACAATGCTGTAATTATTACTTGTAGTTGCCAGGCTAAAATCAATAGAATTGCTACCTTAGAACAATTATTCATACAATTTGATGTAATTAATGTAAATCTCAAAACACAGAAACTCCTTCAGTGACATATTTAATTTTGTCCTTTTCTTAAATACAAGTATTAAAGAAGACTAATGTTAGTCAAACATTTTTTAAAAAATCAATGCTTAAAATCTAGAAACTGTTAGCTATATGCATACATGTATAAATTTTACTGGCAATATAGTACTGTACTTAATTCAGTGGATACAGGAATGTTTATCAACATATAACCATTTAATTAAATTTGGATGTCTCATGGGCCTCCACTTGTTCATAAAATGTCTAATATATGATTTTTTTCTGAAAAACCAAGTTATACCAAGGTAGACTCAGACAAAAGAAAAGTGCTGTTTTTTTCATTCAACTATAAAACAAATTTATGAGATTGTAAAGAACAATTTAACAACCTAGAGAAGGTTCAAAAAGGGAAGTAAGAGCCTCAAAGAAAATAGATTTATCAATGATTTTGGGGTCTTCAGTCTAAGGAGGGAAAGAGAAAGCAAGTTCACTTTGTAATTTAAATAGGCATAAAATTCAGTAGCTTCTATGGAGAGTCCTATTCGTGCACTAAACCCTGTCTCACACAATGCTGACCCTTCCACATGTACACAGCCAGTAACGTGTAGGCCTTCAGGAAAGGAAGACACACCACACAACAAGGTCAGGAGGCCGCAAGTGGGAGAGGACCACGGATACAAACAGAATGGTTTCATGTGTTCCTGCTGTTTATGCAGGTATCTGAAGAAGATGATACTCTTGGGGAAAGAGGGGTTGCTGTGAATATTACTAGGAACATGCAACACAGTATCAAATATCATTTCAAGCAGCCATTCTAAGTATTACAAGCATGCATTTAAGTCAGGCAACCTGTAGTAAAACTATTATTCATTCCATTCTTTTGAACTTAAATGTCAAGCCAAAATAAACCCCTTTAGTCCCAAGCTTCTCTTTCAAACCGAATTCACTACAGTTTATGTTTCTTTAACCTCTTTTGAAGAAATAGGTTTCTAAGCACTCAATATCTTTTTACTATAAAAATATTAATAGAAAGCAATGAAAGAAAAAGACACATTATTTCCTAGGCAAAAAAAATTAATGCGAAGGAACGACCTTGGTATGCAAGCACCTTAAACATTACAGCACAATACAAGCAACGGTGGGAACTGACTCCAAGCAGCAGACTGGCACATTTTAAACACACAATCCTGAGCCGCCTTTGGCCACATGTTTTTTTAGTTCAGTCTCTTAAAGAGACAGTATCCTTTGGTCCAATGCCTCTATATGAAACATATTTCTTAAAACATTTGATTTCTAAAAATCTTCTCTGGAATTTCTTCAAATGCCCTGTAATCCAAGAGTGTTCCATTTTGATTGTGTTTCATTTGAATCTACAAATGACTACGGGGCAGGCAGCGACAAAATCATCTAAGAGCTGCTGTGACTGGCAGCGTCCACAGGACAGGAAACCTGTGCATTTCTTAGATCAGCAAAATGCTTCGCTTTTTTGTAACTTCAAACGATCGCTGTTTCTTCATTCGTCTACCTGTTTACTAGCCACAGCGGACGGATTGTGCAGTAATCCACAATATCAGAAGCTACCAGAGCACAATTTCGCTGTTGAATGAAAAGGAGGAACCGCTAGTAGCATCAGCCCGGGTGCAAAGTTAAATACCGAAGATTTCATTTTCTGTTTAAGAAAATATATCCCAGAAAGAGCACAGACACATGCCCTAAAACCAGACTACCATGTGATTTTAAGTATGACCAATCTCTCGGATTTATTCAATAACATTATTGTACGCTTATTTACATGACTGCAGAGCAGCTCCTGAAAGAGAGGAAAGGGGAAAGGCGAACAGAAAGTCCGGCTTACTTGGTGTACGAACACATCCACCGGAATGTCCAGGGGGCTCCCCTCTCGGTTTATCATGGAGATGAAGCCAAATCCCATACGCACATTGAACCACTTACAGTGGCCAGTCCCGTGCAAAACTTGGGATTCCTCCCCTGCCTGCTCCGGCAGCTTCCCGGGCTCTTCTCCGCCACCTCTGCCTGCCCCGCCTGAGATGCAACGGGACAAAAAAGTCAGTTAGTATGTATTTCCTATGGCGTTCATCGAAAGAGTAAAAAAAAAAATTACTTGGGGTGGGGTGGAAGAGATAATGAAAAGTCGTTAGTCAACAGTTTGATTCCTTCTTTTCTTCTGTAGAAAATATTTAAAATGAAGCAGGGTATGGCGAAGCCACATTCTTCTATCAATCACACCAACTTGCACGTTTCTGTACATACGCCTACTTTTCACTAACTCCGGTTTTCAACCCTGCATCACGGTACAGCCCGCGGTCCTTCCACACTGCTGATCTAACACTGACCCCCTTTACAAAGGGGGATTTTCAGCAAACTTTTCTCTGGCAGGCAAGAGGAGAAAAGAAATGGTGAAGCCAGAACTAACTGTTACGGCACACGCGGCAGCACCGAAGCCAGGCTTATTAGCAATGTGCATTCCCCTCCCCCCATAACTTTCAATTAAAGTTGGGGTGGGGTGGGGGAGGGGGCAGGTGTATTAAAGTCTTCTCGGCCTCGCTAACTGAAACTGCGCTTAATCACGCTCACACAATTCAAACAATAGCCCCCTGAAAGCTTTACAAGTTGTGAATCAGTGTGGGCGGTACAAAACATTTTTGGAAATCTATAACAATAGGTTTGCATAAAGCCCCATTGCGCAACAGGAGGTAGGGAGGTAAGGCTCAGTATTGGGGTGAGGGGGTGGGGAGTCAGGCAAGGAGAGACGAGAAAGGAGCGGTGGGGGGAGAAAAGGAAGAAAATCCCAGTAAAACAATAGAAAAGAAAATTAACCTTCGGCCATGTTGCCCCACGGGCCCTCTGCTCCCGACTCGAGAGATGAAAACTTTCCCTTTGGAACGGCGCGCTCTTCGGCATCAATCTAACATCTTGATTTTGTGCGATCACAAATTTAGCTCGCATGGTCTAACGTGCTTTCCTTCTTTTGATTTTTTTCTCTTCTCTCTCGAGTTTCTGGCCCCCTGAGCACACGTGACTTTGTCAATTACATGCTTTCTTGCTACTAATTTCACCTCGGACCCTTAAGGGGCCGGCAAGAGGAAGAGATAACCAATCGCCATTTCATCTGTGCTGACATCAAAATAATTTATGAATGAGCACCAAAAACTCAAACATCTTAAAGACCATTTGAGGTGCTTCTTTACAGATAAATCTGAAATGCTGGTTTCATCCTTCTATTTAGGCACAATGGAGGAGGGTTCCTTGTGAATCGTCCATTTAGAAAAACTGCAGTCGTGTATGTGCACACGGTGCCCCACACACAAGCCCGTCTAAACAATCTCATAGCACAGGCATTTAAATAAAGCAACACACGTTAAGGTTTTTTGCCCTTAAGAATTCGGCCACTCCATATCATTAAACCTGCTCGGGACACTACGTTTCATACTTAATTTAATTAGAAGAAAATATGTAATGTATAAAACAAATTAATCTTAATTACATACCCTGTATTAAAACTTTAGATAATGGTAACTTACACTACAAAGAAGGGGATTCCCTAATTGTAAACTCAACTGATTTTCAAATTTAAAATAAAATTTCATCAGAAAAATTATCACCACTTTAAACTGTTTAGGTTTATCTTTCCAGAACATTTTAGAGAGGGCTGGTAAGAAATAGTACTTCACAGGTTTCTCCGCCATCTCTTTCCGGGGGAGGAGATGTGATTAATGACTTCCTAAATAACAGCCCAGTTTTGCAGCCTAACAGAGTGAACCTCAATCAGCCGCGATTGTTCCCCAAGAGCCGGGGACTGGGCAGCGGGGGAGGGGAGCGCCAGGGCGGGGGTGGGGGGTCCGCGCCACAAAGGGGTGAACCGTGTGCCGACTGCAGCCGGGTGTCCTGAAAGCCCACTACCAAGGCATACAAGAGACGCAGGAACGAAATCTAACCCCGGATCAGGGGATCAGGCTCTTCCGGCCCGTTCCGCTGGTCCTGGCTTGAAAACGCTTACTGTTCACCTTTCACATCAGCTCCAGATTGACTGAGATGCCGATTACATTACTCTCTCTTATTGAATACTATACTATTATAGATTAACTAGAAATGATGTACTTCCTGTAAAATACAAACTGTCACCCCCCCCCCGTGAGCATTAAAAATTAAAAGGCACCCGCCAACCTTTACCCCACCCCCACCCCATCCCCATTTTCTTAAAGACTTGGAGTTTACGGAAAACTAGATCGCACTTCCCTTCCGCGCCGGCCTGCACCCTCCCCACCTCCAAACCAGCCCGCGTTCCAGGGGCTTCACTAACCAAAATGTTGGCATTCTGAATGAAAAACCAATTGAAAAAACATGTATATGCCTATTAACAACGCTTTCTCATATCTAACAACCAAAAAACTCGTTCAGATTTAAGTGAAATGGTCGTATATATAAAAAAAAATGAAGTTAATTTTCAGCTGTTTGTGATAGGTATCAATCAAAACCAATCAATTTGGAAACACTTTTTTCACCTGTTTCTTTTGTTGTTTCTCAAGAAAGCGAGCAAGCTTTCTGGTTTTATTTGGAGTGCAGCAAATAGGATATTACCTGATAAGAAAATAAAAAGTGTAAAATACTAAATGATTTTGCAAGTGTAACAAATGCCCTACAACTTGAAAACATTATTTGCTAGTAAAATATTTACTGGCTATATTTTCGTAATAGAAATGTGACCACTACTATTACACTTAATGTACATTGACTTACAAGTAACTTTAAAAATGGCATTACATATATAATATGAAATATTTTTGTATCTTAGGGAGTTACCTTTAAAAAATCGGTATGATTTTCAAAGAAAAATCTGAACAAAAGCTGTGAGAGAAAAATTCAGATCAGTATTATTTTGGTTTGTTAAACATTCACAGTAAAATCATTTTTAACCTACAAGTTCGTTTTGAATCAGAGACTAATTTACTCATAAAATTAGGAAGGTAATTTGTAAGTGCAATCTAAATCTTCTTAAATCTGACAAAACTCAGAGTCGTCTGTGTGTAGAGGACATGTGAAACACCTCAGCTGAAGCAGATGGAAGGTCTGATGAGAGTCACAGTGGAGCTGGGTGCTGCTGGGCTCCCGGTATTAGAGGAATTACGGTAAGGCCCGCTGGCCTGGTCACTGGGGTCAGAGGTTATCGGCTCATTCATTTCCTGAGAAGGACATCGGCCTTTCAAGTAGTGTACAAGGTTTTTTCCAACTGGGAACTCGGAGAAATCTCTAAAATTCATTCACAAAGAAATGAAGGCAAATACATTTAAATACGTTGAATACGTTGGGTGGGGCGAACAAAAGGAGGGCAGAAGCGAGAAGGTGCGCGGGAGGCAGCTGGAAAAGCAGCGGAGGCCGCAGCTCGGCGTCACCAGCTCCAGGACAGGGCGCTCGCGTCTCCTACAACAGATCTGCCCTTCCTGCCCCTCCCCAAAGCTGCTGAGCCTAAGATCCTTTTATAAACTGACCATAAGCTCTTAAAGCGCACAGAGTGGTTCCTTCACATAAAATGGTCCTATGAGTCTCCTACAATGCGGTCCAATTTGTCACCTTCCTGAGGTCTTCTGGTTTTAATTTTTTTCTCATTTCCTACTTGATTTTGGCCCCAGAAAGACCTGTGTTTGACTCAAAACGCATGTTTTATACCTGTGAAAGCCAAATATGCTATAGCTTGATTTATCATAGTTCTTTCAAAATGTCTTTAAAATGACTTCAAGTAGCCTCAAAGACTCATCAAAGAGGGGAGATCAAAGAAATACTCTATCATGTCTGTTGGTTATCACAATCTTAGATTTCCCCATTTTAAAAAATGCAGGTAAGCAATTTTTCAGCCTCCCCCTCTCAAGCCAAGGGGCTCAGAGCCGGCCAGAGCCACAAGCAACGCATGACTTCTACCGAAGAGCACACAACGCTGGGCTTCTGGGTTCTTCTTAAAACTAGGAGGGGGGCCTGCCTGGCGCACTGTGGGTGCAACTCCTCCCGCTTCCTCTCACGCTGCAAACAAACCGGGTCCAAGCCCAGCACCATCTCTGCAGCCCGCGCCCTGTGGCTCAGCTGGAACCTCCCGGTCGCCTGGCCCCAGGGGCCAGCAAACCTGCCCTTTCCTCCCACCCCCGGCCCGCAGTGTCCTCTCACCTTCCCCTCTGCAGTTTTCAGGCGCCCTCCCCTTTATCCATCACATCAACACCTCCTCTCCAGAGGCCGGACCACTCCGAAGGCTGGTGAGGTCTCACTAATTAGACGACTTTTACATGTGTCATGTGTTCCCCAAGAACAAAAAGCAACCCCACGCCTTTGCCACCAAGCAAAAAGCACTGGACACAATTTAGTATTTTACTGAATTTCCAAACACACATCCCTTGTAACCCGACCAGAACCTTCTAAATGTAAGATAAGTGAGGTCAAGGGGGTGGGGAGAGCCAGGAGGGCCCAGGAGAACGGCCGCCCCACCCCGCCAGGCCAGCCTAAAATGGGGCCGTCTTCAAACAAACCCGGCGCCGTCCTATCGTTCTATCGCCGAGCCACTAAAACACGGACGGCCAGGGCCTCCGGGCAGGGGCAGGGGCAGGCAGGGCAGGGGCAGGCAGGGCAGGGGCGCCGGCGGCGGGGGTGGGGGCCGGTGCGGGCAGGAGCCTCCCGCGCGCCGAGGTCTCCGCCGGGAAGCCGCCGGGCGGGCGCACGTCGGGGAAGCGCCCCGCTCCCGCGCCCGCCGCGCTGCGGAGACCCCCGGGCGGCCTAGCCGGGTCCCCGGGAAGTAACCGGGGTCCCCGGGGCAGCAGCCCCGCCCGGCCGCGCCGGCCTCAGCAGTGGTCACTGCGGAGCACCGAGGCGCTCTGCTTTTGTTCCAAAACAAGAATTCCGTTCCCATCCCGTTTTTTTCTTATCTGGAGAACAAAAAATGCTCTGGCTTAACAAGGTTCTTCTCTTTAAAGTATTTCATAGTTGTAAAAACTAAAACTTTCTTAAATATCTCCTGAACGCGTTTCTCCGGGAATAATCAAGTAAAATTGGGGAAATTTTGTGGAACAGATTAGCACAAATTTGCAATTTTCCATCCAAATTGCTTTTACATTTCAAAAACAAGCATTTGCAAATTTTTAGTCTGCTATAATTCAGCAAAATTTAGAGAAAATTCACAAAATAAGCATTATTTTTAAGACCACCTATTTGTAGGAAATAACTTCAAAAAAAAAAAACTGAACTAGCAAGAACTACTAATGTATTAACATATTCTCCCAACAAAAAAATAAAAACTATGATGTCGCCCCCAACTATTTTCTGAACTCTGCTCAGAAATACTTTTAAGCGATCTCAACAGGTTAGAAAAATCATGTTGTAAGAGGCTTTACATTATTTTGCAGAAAATAACACAAAAGAAAAAGGTTCATAATCTATTTGAGAAGGGCAGCGTTTCTCACCCCTACTGCTCACACATGTACATCTCCTAACTGTAAATACTGGAGGGGCACTAACATAAACATACACTGCATCTTCCGCTCCCCTAAAGCTGTGAATAAAAGCTGCTGCTTTAAAACCTAATTTCATCAGTGCCTGCCTGGGCAGCACGTATACTAAAACCTCCTTTTTGCCAGAGGAAATAATCCACTGAAAGAACAGCATGGACTGTCCCCAGTATTATTTTAATATTTAACTTTAAACTTTATTTGAGAAGAGGTGTATCAGATATAAGAAGGAAAAGAACAGGGAGAATAAAAAATAAGAAGTCATCAGGCATCATAGATGCCCAGGTGGGAAGCAAATTATAGAGAAGGAACATTCAGCTACAAACTGGAGGTCAGAGTTCTTGGCCAGCCATTAAACTCAGGGCCTCATGGCCCTTTGCTAACTCCAGGGCTTCCCTGGGCCTCAGTTTCCGCATCAGTAAAGCTACGAGACTACCCCAGTTTCAAAGTCTTTCAGCTTTGAAAAAACAAAAGTCATCTCTAGAAATAACTTTTCCCTTCTTTTGGTGAAAGAGGCGCCTCTCCTTTCCAGCCCCTATTTAATCACAAGGAAACAGAGACATGAAACTTGACTGCAGTCACTTAACACGTTGGTGCGAACATGATTTCCCATCAGAAGAGAGCACTGTCTCTGGACTGCCCCTGAAGAGAACCACAACCAGTCAAAAGGGAAAGCAGTTGGTGTATTAAAACCATCACAGCAGCTTTGAGGCTCTTTTTCATCACCATCCCCTCCACGCTAACAGATTCTAGAAAAAAGTATGTGTCAAAGGCAACGCAGTACCTGTCACATTCCTTCCATTAACCCTTTTCACCCTTACTGCTTTGCTCTGGCTACTCGGTCCTTGTTTGATAAACTTCATAGAATAACATCATTTTATGTGTAGTTATGAGGGCTAATAAACTTTTCCATATCACAACTCTTCTGTGTTTTTTCAAGTTAGTATTACTTAAGAGATAAGTCAAGGTATTAAACTCAGAGCAGAAGTCAGAGTAATCACTATTATCAAATAAAATGGTTACTAAAAAATAATTATATAAGTTGATTTTTTTAATATATGAGAAAATGCACGTCAGAAGCCTGTTTTAAATGTTAAAAGTTGAAATGATTCAGTTTTACAGTAATAAAATAAGAAGCAAACTTTGATACATGTACATAGAAAGCAATATAAATGGACCTTCCCAGATTAGGCATATTACCTCAAAAGAATCTAACATGGTGGTGCTATTGATGCATTTTCCTGTTGAAAACAGTAAAACTAAATGCCTCTATCTCTAACTCAACAGATATTAGTAACTATAGGGAATTACAAAGATGAATAAGCCATGAATATTTTTCATTCATCTCTACAAGCATTTGAATACTACCCATTATCTATCTAGTTTGAGTTACTGAAAAGGGAATTACAAAATCCAATATTGCTAAAATCAAGCAAAGGAGCCAATCGGAAGACACTACCCACAATATTCTGGTGGGTTTACAGATGGTGTGGTGCGGATGGAGCACGTGAGACAGGGTGAC